TGAAAAACGCACAATAAAGCAGTTTCAAACATGTTCCCTGAGATCCATAGTCTAGAGCTATTTTAGCGACCTTTCACCTGATCTAAATCTATGTGGATTTTACCTTAGCGGATACTTGAACAACTAAGCATTTCCACTGCATACTTGTGCAATGTGATTTGATATTTTGATACAAGAATGCAAATTTCAAGATGATTTGGATTGTTTAATGTTACTAATAATGTAAGACCATTAACACAAAACTTTCAAGTGTCTTCATCCATACATCTACAATTTTAGCATTTAATGCTTCCTGTTTCTTAAAAGGCAGATAGTTTAAACTGAATATTAGAAATCATGGTTTTATCCTGTATACTTTTTGACAGCTCCATTCTGATCTTGAACAAAATGTTAATTAAACATCAATCATCAAGAAAATCTCCGATATAGTGTTTCGAGAAAAAACACTTTAGAGGAATGGTTTGCTCTTCTTTACTAATTCTAAAACTAAAGTACCTCTGTTTTTACACATGCTCTGTCATTTGTCAAGTGAAATTTGGTGCATCAATCCTTTTAGTTTTCACTCACTCTGAGTTGCTCCTGATCCTCAGAGGTCAGACAGTAGGAAAATAAATCAACATTGTCCAGGCTTACAGTCCCAACATTCTGATATGCTCTTAGAGTGAAGAAGAGAAACACAGTGCAGTAAATGAGGAAATATTAGTTTAATATCAACATATTAGAAAAATGTGAACATATCTTTTTATACTGAGAACATACTAAGAAACTGTTTTTTACATAATGAAATAAATGATTTGTACATTTTATAAGAAGTGATGAGCAATATTTTTGTTTGTTTTTTCCACAAAGGATTTAGTAGCTAGGAGGAAAACATAAAATAATAAAAAAAACTAAATTTTCTAATTAAAGTAAAAAATTCTAAAATTGAAGAAATGAAAGTTAAGAAGAAATGTTTCTTATATACAGTAATATTACATATTAACACTATTTATTAACAATATTAACAAATTACTTATCAGCAGGAGTGAAGAATCCATTGCTCAGTAGATCTTTTCTCCTATCATAATTCTGCTTCTTCTGTTGCTCATGTGGAAGGATATATGTAGTGTCGTTTCTAGTTGTCACCTTCACCGGGACATAACCCTGATCTTTGAATACACAATATTTCTTTAAAATATATGCTTATAATAATCATCGTAAATTAATATGTATTAGAAACTAACCTTTCTACAGTTTTACACACCTACTATGCTTTTAAAAATTCCCCTTTTATAATCCATCTTCTTTTGAATATTGGATAGTGTTTCTTCTGAGCCTTGTTTGCTTTTCAGATTTTGGATTTCTTGGCCAAATAACAAAAGGTACTCTGTCTTTTAGTTTTTCTGATGATATTTATATTTGATTATGGCATGAACACGAATTTCTAACCACCTTGATTTAAAAAATGATCACTTAAGTATGTGTACAAATGATGGACTATCATGAAGCAGTATTAAAAAAAGAGTACTGTACTGTTTTATCCTACATATTTTATGTAAAGACAAAATAAGAACAATATGCCCACCTGTTTTCAAATTTGTGGAAAACCTTTGCCTTATAAAATTAATGAGTTCCTGGTCTCTGCCGCTCAAAGGCTGGTCCAGGTGAGCTGCTATTCTTCGTATTACTTCAGCCATGTCACCCCTCCTGTAATGTTACAGGTACCTTCTGTAAAATAACATACTTTGTGTCTACATACGTGTGATTCTTTCATAGTTCTCGTCTTTGAAGCCTATTTGAGAGATTTTTTTTTATTTTGAGAATTTTGAAAGATGGATTCTAGTGGATTTCTACATACTTCACCTCAAGGGCTATTATACAACAGAAACATAATAACTAATACCTTTGACACCTGAAGAAGGCTCCATGGCCGAAACGTTGTGTTCTCTTTCTTCTTTTTTTCAGCATGGAATAAACCTATTACTTGTTCCTTTGCAACTAATACCTTTGCCTACTTATCAGGATCCCTATGAAAGCTTTAATCAAAGAAATAGAGTACTCTACTGTTTTTATGTATATTTTATGGGCTTTCCAAATATGTGCATCCAGAAGGATTATTCCTAAAAGTACCAAAAAGCTGCACCGAATGTATTTAATAATATTTTGATTTTCTTATATTGTTTCTCAGCTAAACTTGCATTAAGTTGACTTCAGAAACTTGTAGTTATTTCCACACTTTCTTAGGGGGAGGTGTACCTTAGTGGGTGAGCCTTTGTACAGATTATGTCAGATTAGCAATCTCTATATGAGTTTGGGTTCTAATACAACAGTCCCTAAATCCCTATTACAGACACTAGTGTTTTACCCTTTAATGATGCAGTGTATTCTGCTTGTTCCACCAGATTTATAAATGGGGACACGAATGTATTTGCGTTTTTGTTTAAATCTTAATTGGAGTGTCATTCACAACCCATGTATAGTGGTGTTCTTTTAATTTTATCTTTTTCTGTCAATTCAAGTCTTTTTTCTGTCAGTAATGTTCTGCAACATCAAGAGTAAAATGCAAGCACTAACTACTGTACATACTTTAGAAAAACGCTTTATTTTTCTAAATCTAACCACATCATGGTCATGTTCTATAACTTAGTTTGTTCTTCCTCAGAAGGATGTGTTCCCTTGGACTCTTTAATGGCACCTTGGTATTTATAAAAACCTTTAAAACTGTCTACCAGTTATGGAAACCATATACTGAAATATTTGGGGCTCCCGAATGTAAACACAGGTTTATAACATTCTGACAGATGCATATCAGGGATGATCAAACTAAATCTCTTCCAGAAAAGGACCCACAATTTAAATTCAAGTCTGTAAATATTATAAATAATGCAACAAATAGTCTTAAATACAAAACTTCAGGTCAAAAAATCTCTCTACATCAACAGCCTGTTATAGCAAATCCATTAGAGTGCTGATCTGGGATGTTCCACTTGTAAAGAATTTTGGGGTTTGTTTCTGCAAACCCCACTTGAATCTGGACCTTCTAATTACCAGAGGTTGGGAGTAACAGAGTCATGGTCTTAGGGGGTAGGGTTTAGGAGTGGCGTGGGACTCAGTAGTCTATGTGAGTCAAGGGATGGGCCTTTCTTTCCTGCTTTAGAGGCCTGAAGATGGAGCTGGGAGCCAAAGCATAATGAGCACATTCTTTGTCATTTGTGAGCAGGAATCCTTTGGCACCTTCAGAACCCATCAGTACTACAGTATTGAGAAAAGGTCATCTTAATTAATTAATTACGATTCTATAGAATCTTGATGTTTAAGTTTTAGTCATTGATATATTTGTGCTATGGAGATGAGTCCAGTCTTAAGCTTCACCCTAGATTTAGATCAATCTAAGACTATTGGCTTATTCACTGTTTTTTGTCCACCATAAACCCATAGAATAATTTCTATAATTTCTTAAATTTATTTTAAAAATTACAAAACTTTTAAGAGAATCGACGCTTTTCAAAACGTTATCAAATACCACCTTATTAAAAACTACATTCTCTAGATGCATGTAGATACAGTATATATTAATATTATTTTAAGGCATTGTTTCTACATACAGTAAGTCGCTAATTGTTCCTGCGTTGTTCAAAAACTTAATTTCGCCACTTCTTTGATTTAGTACGATTCGTTTATCTACAATGCGATGGTCGCCCAAAATAATAATAAATCCTGGGTTCTATGCTTTTTAAGGACTGTTTTAGAAAATAGCTTTATATTTAATTCTGTACCTTAGTCATGGCGGGGATTAACAACTCTTCAAATGATTTTTTTTGAAAATAAGCAAGTACCAAAGATGTAGCGAGCAAACGCGCGAGCGGAAATCCCCGTGGCCATTGAGTCGGGACATACAGTACAGTACTAACGGCCGTTAGAGCCAGCAATGGGAGATCTGAGAATTGATATATTTTTTTAATTTAATCTTAAACAAAGTTAAGTAATTTGTTTACTCAATCATTATTGTTTTCATTTATTACTATTTATTTAATTATTTCATTTATTTATTATATTTACTTAATTCACTATTGTCGCCTGTAAATATATTTGTTTCAAATGACCGTAACGTACTGTACTGTACAGTACGAGGCTGAAGTCGGTTTCTTAATTCGCCAGCTTCTAATTCGTGTTTTTTCGTTCCACCTTAAATGCTGCTGCTGTGACGTTATGTCGCCTTTCGCCTGTAGATGACTCTCTACAGTCTTTTTAAAATGCACTAATCCGGATGGATAACTGTGCATGTCCTCAGTAAAGGGTAATATGTAAGTAAATAGCGACTGTCCAAATTGCATTCCAGAAAATCGAAAACCAATTTTCAAAACTCACAATAACACATGCTGGCATGTTAGACAACGAGTAAATAAGACAAACGAGTAAAAGGCAAAACGTGAATTCACTGGCACTTTCTGCAAATTTACCACGACCTTGTCTTCTGATCATTAAAAGTCTCAAAGTATTGTATTTTACAAGACATTTTAATATAGCAGTATTAAATGGGAAATTTAGAACATGGCGTATGAGAATATGTGGGTAACCGAGGATGAGCAAAGGGCGATGGGACTTTCTGCTCATTGCTGTGAACCTCACAATTCTGACACGGAGACATGAGAGACAATGTAACAGTTCAGATAATGTTCAGAGGGTCATATTTAAAAAACGGTACAGTTAAATTTCTTGTACTTCAGGATTTTGACAGTCTGTTACATTGTCCTTCACACCTCAGTGTCAGAATTGTGAGACGATTTTGTAATCAGGAGGGAGGGACATAGCGATACAGCAGAAAGTGCAATCACCATTTGCCAATGTATTCTCACATGCCATGTTCAGAGGGTCATATTTAAAAAACAGTACAGTAAAATTTCCTTAAATTCGGGATTTTGACAGTCTGCTATAATGTCTCTCACACCTCGGTGTCAGAATTGTGAGACGATTTTATCATCGGAGGGGAGGGCCATAGTAAAAAGAAGAAAGTGCAATCACCTTTTCCCAGTGTAAGTTAGTGTTATTGTGAGTTTTTAAAATTGGTTTGCGATTTTCTGAAATATATTCCATACATTTAAGGTGGAACGAAAATCGCGAATAAGAAGCCAACTTCCGCCCCGTCCTTAATGTAGATGTAGTAGAGGAGCAAACACATCTAAACACGTCTTTTTTTTTACACATTGAGAAAAATAATATAAACTTAAACATTGATTTTTGATAACAACTTTAAACTTTATGAAGAGTTTTGGCAAAAACATAGATATAGGGACTTAGCTGATTAATATTTTTTTTAATTATGAACTTATTTTGACAAAACCTAATAAAACCTGCAATGCAAAAGAGCCAATAAAATATACAGTATACTATTGTTTAGCTTTACCTCATATAAAGAAGATTAGAATTAGAATATGTTACTAAGTCTTAATCATTTACTTTATTACTTTTAAAAATGGAGAATTTCTATTTGAGACCAATTGTTTCTTAGTGAATTGAGACTTAACTGGAATATCATGGTGCAGCGCTGAACTTCAACTTGGACTGGATGACAGTCCTTACACACACATAGAGCAGTATTGAGACGTTAGCAAATCTGGGGAGCACATCTTGGACTGTGTACCCTGAGGAAAATATCAAAGACTACGATAAAACCTGCTTTACAAAGAGCGCTCCCCCAGGATGAGTATATACTGTAAAAGTTCTGCGCAGCCTAAAGTTTTTTAAATTATAGTTGGGTTGATGTACAGTATCTATTAGAAGTCGCATGGCGGTGCAGTTCTCTTAGCATAACTGCCTCACAGCCCTGGAGGTCTGAGTTAATTCTGAACCTGGGGTGCTAACTGCATGGAGTTGATATGCTCTCCGTATGTGGGAGAGACCCCATCCCACAGTCCAAAAACATACTGGTTTGACAATTGGCTTCTGGAAAAATTGGTCCTGGTGTGTGAGTGTTATACTGGCGTCCCATCCAGGGTGTTTCCCACCTTGAGTCCATTGCTCCCCTGCAACCCTGTACTGGAAGAAGTGGACACAATAAAGATATGGACGGGCAATATGTTGAATATTTTTTGTGTGATGTAAGATGGGTCTTTACATATTTCTGATATGGAAGAGTATCTGATTAATTTTTATTATTAATTGAAAATATAGTTGAATATCCAGACTTCCAATGTTATTAAAATGAACAGATTTGAAGGTTATTTTACTTATATTTTATTTCTTTAAAACAATATCTAAGAAAGGGCACCTTAAGAAAACAATAAACGACCTAATATATATTCACAGCATTGCAGTCTGCCTCTAATGGAAAGGTGGGTGAAAGTGCTGTAATGGCCAATCCAGTATTTCAGAAATCCCACATTTGTGTCATGGTTTCATGTGCTTGTATATGGTTATGACAATTTCTAATGGGGGAAAACAGTATAAACAGTACTTTATACTATATATGCTATACTTGGAAATACACTTTATGTACTTGCTCATTTCGGAGTACTAGGGAAACCTGATGAATTGGATTACCTCAGAATTTCTGTCATTGAATTATGTCAGAAATCCTCCTTGCATTAAGGAAGCATTCCAGATGTAAAATATTCTCCAGCTGTGGGTTTTCCTGCTGCAAAAAATAGTACACTTCCTAGTGACCCTTTGCTGAATTCCTTCCAAATATACAATATCTACAGTATGTTGCCTAAGTACAGCTAAGTGAGAAACTGTCTAAAAATATTAACTTCCTACCATATTGATTCAAAGAAGTACAGGAGAATAAACAGATCAGACCAGTTGCCTATGAGAGATTATCATTATTTCTTAAAATAATGGTAATGTAATCAATTTATTTCTGAAAACTTCCTCTTTATTTATTGCATTTCTATTGCATTATTTATTGCATTATACAGTATGTATATATTTTGTAACCCTGTGTATCTCTGACTGTTTAAAGTGCCAGGATGAGTGAAAGCATAGAGTAGGTTCGGCTCATGTGCTGTACAAATTGATCAAGAGCTTTTGAGACAAAGGTGTGCTTAATATCAGTGCCATGTGTGGTGTTTCAGAAAGCAGGCAGCCATTTCTTGTTTTATTTTACAGTTCAAGCCAGGTTTTTTGCCCTTTATCTGTTCCATGGCTGATATAAACATGGAACAGATAATCATTACATTTTATATTTCTAATTTATATTTTTATCTCAAAGAATTTCAAAGGGTTATACATATAACTTTGAGTATTACATCCACCTTACCATTACTGAAGCGTGACACCTACAGTATCTATGTGATGTGCCATTATGTGTCAGTAGTTTCACTACACATTAAAAAAAGAGGTGGGAAATTACAGTACCTTACTAATTTTAGTAAGGAGAAACTGTAGGTAGGCTACATTGTGTAAACACAGAGAGTAATTTCATCAGGACACCACGATTAACACACCTGCTCTGACAATCAGTACTAAGGAAATATTCCCCCTTTTATTATTTAAAGCTATACTGTAGTATTACCATTACTAGTTAGTAACTGTTTTAGCCACTTCTGCTACCAGCAAATTGCCGAGATAACCTAGCCAAAGAAATGGCTGTGAGTGTGCACCCCTTAACCTCATATTGCTAAATGTACTTGAGTTCAGTTCAGTAGACCAGTTCAGTATTTGGGAGATTCCCAAAGTACAAGGTTCTTAAATTGGATGAGCAACTGTGGTGTCAGAGAAAGGACATGGCATTCAGGTTTGGCTTTCAGACTCAAAAGGTTTATTTTCTGCAGTCAAAGTGTAAGTGTACAACTAGTATCTCTTGAGTAATAAAACTATGCTTGACCATATAACAATTAATGATTTACATCAAAACCCATTGTGATAATAAACACACTGATGAGCTAATACATACACAAACTAGATCAGAACAGCTCAAATATGACAAACATACATTATGTTAGGAGCACAGTGTAGAGTGGGAAACAGGCTTAATAATAATTATTAATTATATTTAACCTTAATGCAGGCTTTGTTCAATAAAGCCCAAGCCAGTCAACATAAAGGATCCCAGCACTACTGAACTGAAGTAAGTGCACATCTGAGACCCTCCAGGACGCCTGAGCAGTTGCACCTTGCCCTTAACACTTTGGCATTTTGGGTTTTTCATCTAAGACTAGTTGTACACAAAGCGGTTTTTGACACTTTAATCCTGGAGGTGTCCTTTTAGTAAGTAGATACTAAATATTTATATGTCATGTTAAATAAATATAAAAAAGAAAAACATGAAACCACAAACAATAAAAATAATTTAAAGTAAATAATTTAAAGACTTAACGTGGGTGACTAGCAAGTGACTATGACTAATAGACATTTTAGTTGACTAAGATTATGACTAAATCAAAAACCGGTGACAAAATTAACCTACTTAAGCCAATTAAAGATCATTCTTATCAAGTGATTAAACCAGTACCATCAATATACAATGCAATAGCATTGAAAACATTCCTCGGGTACTAACATAAGCTACATGTAAGAGATATGCTGTAGTTGGTCCAGTCCATAAGAATTATAAATATACTCCAAAAAGAATAGTGTTCTTGGACACTATTGAATGCTTGATTTAATTTGGGTATTTTACTGTGTGCCAAGATGTTTAAATTAATTTTATTTTTTTTCTTCCCCAGATTTAAGCATTGAGCATTTGTAATGCCTCACATGAGGTTTTATTTCCAGTTTTTTCCACTGGCAAAATCATCTTCTCATGTGACTTGAAATTGCTGATCCACACAGCTCACTGTTTCTATAGTCTTTTAAGTCAGACAATTCGAAACCACTGACATCCTAAACAA